TTCCCTAATTGACTATTTGTGATCTATCTCTCGTGGTAATGAGGACTACTGATCAATTCATTTATCTGTCGGGAATTGGTTATATGGTGGTAAATTCATCACTTTGATGGGATCAAACTGAGCCGACTGGCAAGCTATGCTAGGACTCTGCCCATACCCTGAAAAATCAGTATGTATTCCATGCTAACCGCTCTGTTCTGATGTTTCACCGGTGGTGGACAAAACGATCAACAGAGTTTCTGCAAGACTGTGCAACAAAGCGCATTTGGTCCGATTCGAGAATAACTGAAGTGTCTTAATCCCCTAAAGTGTATACCCGATTACTTCATCTGTAGAGAAACGACTCAGATCGGGTGGGTTCAGAGGAGAATAAAAGTGATTCCCGAAGAATCTCAGGATCACGTACACGGGTTCGAAACATCCGCCTTCAAATCACAGTAATCTTACTGAATTTTATGTGATCTGTTGTCCCACGTGTTTGTGTACAAACGGAAACAATGGGTGGCACTCTATACAACTCCGGGGGAAGCAACGTCAATTTCAATTATTGACATTGATAAATCATCCGTCAGACTGTATCCGCAGTGCTTCCATAGTCAAGCAAAAACTCGGCAGCACAGAACTTGTATCTCGCTCCTTTTAGAGTCCACCAGGCACTTAAACAACAATCGCCTGCTTGTATTCCAGATGTCGTACAGGTTCTGTTTGGGCCACACGACTTCTGATTGGTTGGCACCATTGGACTGTGATTTTTTGTCCAAAAGCTGCAACGCTTCACTCCATGGTTGGCTTAACGTTATCCCGTAGGCTAGGATCGCAACAGTTATTCAGCTCCATTATTTGTATCTTGTTTAAATCCAATAAGGGGTATCTCAGTTCCCACCGCTCTTTAGGAGTCACCTATTCTTCTGTCAGATTGAGGGACAAAAGACGCGGACCTTAATAACATTATCACGTTTCGAATGAGAAAAGAAGCAAAACGAAACTGATACACAGAAGCTGAGTTCTCCAACTTGGCATGGTCTACAACAGGTTTAACCTAATTAGGTGGTACGATCAGGATGTTGTTTGTTTGCTGTTTGGATTGCGGGCAAAATTTTACTATGGGAAATACTTTCAAGTGGTTGCGTTTTTCTAGTTTCATAGGGTTGAGCACAGATCAAATCAGTTCACGGTTCATTCAAAGTAGACGAATGTCATAAGTCATCCTTGTTCCGTGCACTGCTACGGATGTTGAAATTCAAGAATTGTCAATGCTTCATCCAGTATGTGTTTGAAGGAATCCATCGTGGGGGCACAGAAACAACTTGTGGTGGCATACTCTGAAGGCAAGTGAATGACACCGGTATACTAGATTCGGCATTGTTGGAGCACTAATTTGAATGAGCGCCCCCCGGGAGGTGACTGTTTGGAGACAAGGCAAAGAATAAACGACATGACTGATCTAGGTCCTGCATTATTTGATACACCAAGATCAAGGTCCTTTGAATGCGGCAATACCGTGTGGAGTACAGTGACAGTGATTTCAGTCGTTCCGCATAACACTTGGAATGCAGTCCCTTGACCATTTTGGTGGCTCTTCTTTACGGACATTCCAGAATCTTCCCATCGCATTGTAGCCATGGATTCCATGCTTGAATGGCATACTCGATGTGGGGTCGAATGTAGGTTGATAACAATAGTGGGAACAGCGTACTTTCAAATTTTCCAAAAATTCGTTTTAGTATACCGACATGTCTTACAGTGGTAGAGGACGCCCGGGAGCAGTTTAAAGAACAGCTTAGGTCGTCTTGAACAGTGACAACGAGATCTTTCTGTTATTTGAGACATACGGAAGTTGTTGATCTCCCAGGAAATACGGAAGACGTGTTTTGTGTCAAAGGCATACTACCGTACACTTTGATGCATTAAATTCCATGTGGTTTTTGATCGACCATTGATTGATAGGCAGCATTAGGTGTTCTCCGAAGTGCAAGAAAGTCCTCTGGTTAACTAATGGATCCTAATTAGGACGAACTGGCCTGTATAGGAGCGCATTGCATAAAAAACGAGTGCTTCTTCAATTTAAAGCCAAACGACTAGCATCATGTGACTGTGCCTCAGTCTGGCGGCATGGTGTGCCCCTTTTGGAAGGGAGGGCGGACGGGTACC